AATATTAATGTCTAATTATGAATTTATATGAATTAATTTCTTTTAATATTTTATGGCAACAATTTTAATAACGGATGAGGGGAAAAAATGAAGAGTTTCATTCTCCAATTTAAATTTCTCATCGCATAAAAGAAACTTAAACCCAAATTTTTACATTGTGATTGCCGCCTGCGTGTAAAATATTTTCACTTTCACCCGAGCCACGATTCGCAATAAATACAATTCTCGATCTCTGTTTGCAACGCGAGGCGAATGTTTATCGTTCCAACGACAATAATTCACGGATCTGAATGACCGCGTGCAAAATAAGGATACATATTTTAGCGGCGGCGTTCGCAATTTAAAATGTGTTAAAAACCGTCACGCGAGACTGGGACTATAAATAACGCTACCCTGCTAAAAGATCGAAAAATATTGCGCCAACTAAAATATCATTTTTAAACCAGTACCGATTAACAGTTTGCGTTACTCCGTAACGCAACAATGGGATACGCTCGTAATTTATAGACATTGGATGTGGTGAGCCGCGAGCTGATCAATAAATTCCAGGCAAATAACGCTCAACTGGTTGCAAATTTCGTGTCCAATCATTTTTCTCTCCATCGATGGATAGCGAAACACAAACGGAACAAATGGAATACCATGAATTCACAAGCCGGGTTGCGATGATTTATCATCATACTCGTGCAAGTGGAATACGCAACATAATTCCGCTCGGCGGTACGTGCCGGCGCGTTTAATCCTCTGTAACCAGAATTTCATTGATTTACAAGCGAAAAAGATCATTAGTTGATCGTAGTTATTTACTCAAGTTTAAAAGCTCGGGAATTAATAGTTATCGTCAGACCGGTGTTTCTCATTCAAATTTGCATTCTTGTAAGAACGATAAGAGCTTGTTTCAGCTGTTAAATAAATACAACAAATGTCGTGTATTTTATCTCCAAAATTTTCTGTAATTGTATAAAAAATTGTATAATAGTGAAGAATGTAAATGTTCGAAACGTAGATTTTATAAATGTATATATTTCAGATATCAGAGAAGGCCACGTCTTTCACCAAAATTGACGTCAAAGAACGAGCAATTTGTCTCGTAACATAATTTACCGTGCAAACTGACATAATATCTCTGGCAAGAGTTTTAAGGAAAATGTTTACGTGCAGTTTTCTCGCAAAGCGAGCACCGTCTCTCATTTATTCTTTCCTTTCCAATCTTCCCGCAGTGAAATATGCAACGAAGCTTGAAAACTTTTTAAAGAGATAATGTAGGAGAGCGTGTGACGCAATGGAACCTCATGGAAAATTAATTGCAGCTCCGAAGGTTGAAAGCTTCGCGTTTGCCTTTTCAAGTACAGAGTTTCAAGTACATCGAATTTAATCCTCGAAACAATTATTCAGCCGGTGGAGAGCTTACGGATTATTTGGTGTACCATCGTTTTATATTTCTCTATTTCAATGTACTTCGATATGGAACGAGTGATTTGAAATATCCTAAATATTCTAAATTACATGTGTGATCTTTACATGAAAAGATATAATACGATTTCACAACATTATGAAAATTTCTATATCGTTCTGTATTTCTATCCTCAAGATTTTGATGATTGATACGAAGAACTATTGCCATCTTTTCTCGAGCAAATACGAGTCAGAAATTTTAAAATATCTCAGAATAAATATTAAGTTTACACAACTTTTGTGAATCGAAATGCAGTAATCGATACAAGGTATTATTCTATACTCCTTCTTTAACAAAATTTTAATTAAATTCTATTGCAATGCAAACTGAATGCAGATAGTGACATCATCTGTTATTACTTCTCTCAAACTTGGAACACTGATCGAAAGCAAGCGTTGCTCGCTTAAAATCTCAATAGAGCCGTTAGTGGCAAAATCAAGTTTCCCCTAAAGGTTCCAACGTTTATTTTCTGCCGTGTTTGGGGGAAGGGATGAAAAATGGCCGAGATAAACAGGGAATATCGGCTGGCGCGGATGTGCATCGGAGGGTCGTTTTTAGCATCAAAGCATCGAGCCTGACCTTGAACAATTTACGTACACCGGACATCCATCACGAGGTTAAAAGCGTTGGCAACCGGGTCGCGCTGAAATCCCCATAAATTACGCCGGCTGTTACTCCTTCTCAGAACCTTCTTTCATAGAAGTAGTCGAATCGAAAGTAGCCATGTAACCGGTCGTGTTGTCGCGGGATCATTTCACGATCGCGATCACAACCACGCAAGACCGATGATATCAAAAAGTCCTTCGAATAAATATAGAGCTAGCTCACTCTGTTTGCTCACGCGGTGTCAACGAACGAGAATCTATTGCATCCCCTGGGACACGCAGCAACTCTCCTCGCCTCTCGTGTTTTCTTTCTTTTTCTTTTTTTTCTGTTTCCTTTCACGCGACCAAGTACAGTCCTCGTAGAGGGTTGGCGAATTTTCGATCGACGTGACGTGAATTTCGTTGGATCGAAATATTATTGAATTACGAAGTACTTGAGATGTTTCTAGCAGCTGCTTAAATATTGATCGTTATAATATAACGTCTGAGACAAGATACTGAAGTATCACATACTTGTGATCCTCGACTTGAAGAATTCAAGCTAACTGTAAGATCAAGAAAAAAGAAAAGGATGTTTCTAATGGCTACTTAAATATCTATTGTTGTAGCATAACATCTGAGACAGAATACTGAAGTATTATAGACTTGTGAGTCACGATTTGAAGGATTTAAACTAATTGTAAGATCAAGGAGAAAGAGGAGGGATGTTTCTAGTATCCACTTAAATATTTATAACATTTAAGACAGAATGAATCATTATATACTTGTATTCTACATTAGTATTATTAGTATCATATATTTCAATTTGAAGAATTTAAGCTGGTTGCAACATCAAAGAGCAACTGTATTACGAAGCGAAGAGGTGAGGGAAATTTCTACTAACAAAGCAATTTTGCAATTTTATAAGTATCGATAACATTGATCGTCTTCGATAAGCTGCTCATCACTTGCGCTAATCTTGTTCGGTGCTTCCTTGTTTTAATGCCTGCCTGAGAAACTTGCAGTTCCAAACTTATAATTGTAATTTGCTTGACTTCTGGCTCGAGAGCCACTTCGTCAAATGAAATCTTCCCGGGTCAGAGAATCTTTCGGCAAGTTTCCAATTACACGGTGATCCTTCATCTGAGTCGGTTCGACGTTCTTCAACGTGTTTTTAATTACTATCGGAAAAATGTACTGCACTCGCGAGTCGAAGTTCGAAGTTCCACGAAAATTGTACAGGGAAATGTTCGATGTCTGGATCATTGATACTACTTTTGAGTAAATTTTTGTAATTTTGTTAAAAAAAATTTCATCTCGTTCCAATTTTAATAGCTTTACATTTCGTTCGTTTTTCTCAATGAATCGAACAGGTGTGAGTTAAGTGGAAATTATCAAGATTAATTCGGAACTTTCTTAATTTTCTACAAAACTTTACGAAATTTCGAGGACACGAGAAAGATACATAATTACTAAAATGGGACAAACAGAGATGAGAAGAGGGGACGAGAAAATGGTCGTCGCGTGATCACGTGGTATCCTTAGCGATTCAATTCAAGGCGCGAATTTTGTGCACGATACTCGCCCTGTCCCGTGGAGCAGGTGGAGAGATACCTGTCACGAAAGGGAAATTAAGGTTCATCGTGCCAACAAAGTGTCAATCTCGCGATGGCCTCCGCCGGCCCACACGGGCTGCACACGCGCGGCTCCACGACCGCGAGTAAAATACAAATACCGTGTGCTCGCCGATGGTCAATGCCACGCAACGTGAAGTACACGTTCCACGTGGGCAGTGACTAATGGTGGCCCATAAGCGCGAATCACCGAACGGAGCGCAACAGCCCGAGCAACGTATCTCAGCTTGGTAATCTCGATGCCAAATGCCATACACGCTTTACTGCCACGTGATTAATGCCGCCTATTGGAGCTAGAACTGGATACTCTCTCTCTCTCTCTCTCTCTCTCTCTCTCTCTCTCTCTCTCTC